TCCTCTCCAGCCTGTCAGTCTTCAGCAGCCGAGTGAAAAGGGGAATGGAGTGACTGAATGGAAACAAGGCCGCAGGTCCAGATGGTGCCAGTCCCCGGTGGCCTTTGTAAAACAGCAACTTTTGGGTTTTGGGCTTACCTCATCAACCTGAGCTGGAGCCTGGAGAAAGTTTGGCTGCTGTTGATAGCAGCGTCGCCGTATTCAAAATATCTAATCAGTTTGCCCCTCGGTGACCGCACATTTGTTTCCCAAGCGACTCCCACCACGACAGTCTAAAGAAACTTAGAGTGAGTGTTGCAAAAGCTGCTCGACGAATGGAAAAACAATGGCACAGTTTAAGATATAACGATTATCACAACTTATCTTCTGAGGATGCAAAGCTGCAGAGTTTTTTAATTAAGTTTCAGAGCATTTCACTTCACAATATGAAACTATTTAGGCTTGAGGGGAAAACTCAAGGTATCGCTAACTTTGGTTTCAGCTGAAGTGATAATGTGTTTAATAGTAAAAGCACTCATCTTACACTAATTGTTTTATCTCCTTTTATTGCTTTGCTGCCGCCTTGGGAATCATTTGGTTGAATTCAAGCTCTATAACAAACATTTCCTGCAGGTTACCTGATGAATTTTGCTTATAAAAATGGTTCTGTCTCTCTTTTTATGCCAACTAAAATGTATTTCATATGCAGGGGATAAATAAACTGGAGCGCTAGAGAAGTTTCCTCATGAACATCTTTGATTGTTTTCTTTTTCTTTTAATGTTTAGCAATTTATCCTCATTTCTGCCTTAAAATGAGTTACTTTGCTCTCCGACTACTTGAATATCAACTGAACCCTGCCTTAAATGTGTAGACCTTTGGTCAAAGCGGTCACAGCTGAAAGCCCACAGCAGCCCGGTGGACCGGACATTGCACAGAGCAACCCGTCTTAAGCACACACGTATTTAGTGGACATTCCCTTTAGAATAAATCCCTAAAATAACAAAACTGACACAAAAAAAAGGCGGAACTCACCTTTAACAGAGGTCATTTTATGGACACAGTTGACGTCCTTTCATCAGCGCTGTGAAACCCAAAGGCAAGTCCACTCATGCATAACCTGATTAACCTTGCTCCTAACTCATTCTGCTGCAAAAATCTAAGACTGGTCTTTTGCACATGATAAACTCAAATGTCAGGGTGCAGGCAATCATTTTTTGGGTACAACTATCCACAAACTTTGAGCATTTTTTCAACACCACGGCAAACAAAAAGTAATGACAATTCTTTGTTTCTTTGTGGATAAAGGTCACACAGCAGCAGTCCTTTATTGTACATAAAGTATACAAATGGCAAAACACAGCTCGAACAGTTTTCAAGGCCCGACATGCTTATTCATAGTAAACTGTCTTTTCTAACAAACAGAACTGGCATGCCATGAATAAAGATTCTTAGAATTCCTACACTCATTTTTTCTTCTGACATCTAATCATGATAAATTATTATTTCACTGTTATTTCATATATTTTTGTTACTTTTATCTGCTCAGTCATTTAGAAGGCAACAATTAATCTTTTTTTTGTTTAGTTTTGTTTTGTTTTTTATAAGATTCACAGCGTAACAATCACTGGTTGCATCTGACAAAGTATGCAATGTGAAATAAAGACCTACTGAATGTAGGATTACCTTCCTTAGAAAACAATTAATTCATTTCACAATATAACATTCAACTTTTGAAATAAGCAACACATACTGCTACAAAAATATACATAGCACCAAATCAAAAACTAACCATGGATTGATTTTTAAGGACAGTGGGTTATTTAAATATTTTCTTCAAAGTGAAAACACTCAGATATAATTGCTCAAAAACTTTTTTTTTCGTTTTTTCGTCAACACACGGTGTACCACCTAATAGCAAGAATCAAATGACAAAAGTACAAACATCAGACATCAGCTCAGGCAAATGTAAAGAATTAAAGTTACAAGCATTTAATCTTCCATTTAAGTCCTTCCAGGGAGGCCAAAAATTCCAACAGTCGCAATCTGCGTAATCCATCGAACAGACAAACTCTCAGAGTCTCATCAAGTCCCTTCACAGAGTCTGAAGTGCAGAGTCAAGCACCTTTTACTCCCTGTTGAAAGACCCTATGTTAACACTTATTTGATATTGCATCAGAGATGGGTTTTTATCAAACCCTGCATATATGACGCACGCACACACACACACACACACACACACACACGCACGAATACACACACAGTTACAGCAAGAAGCTGCTAGTGGATTGCACATATGGCAGAAGCTTAATTGCAGCTTTATAACAGGTTATGATGAACAACAGAGTTTAAAACAAAGCACTGCTTTCCTTCTCCCATCTTGCGTCAGAAGCCGAATTGTGCCACAATATAGCTAAACAGCAGTTGAACTTGATCTCCCCCAAAAAATAAACTCTTTTGGGAGGTCTCTTGACGCCGAACGCGGTGGGCTAATATTTCAGATTTCATTCTTTGGTGAACCATTCTTTAAGTTCCTCCCCAAACGGAGGCTCGGTTAGAGGCGTGCTAAGATTGAGATTTCCCATTTATGTTACAGCGACGGTGAAGAGAGACAGAGTCTGAGGAAACAAATGGAAATGTAAAATTGAATGAAACTAAAAAAAACAACTAACAAATCGGTTTATGGAGTATAGGGCAACAGCAATCGTGGTACATGTCACCTTATTCTGTCGAACATCCAGCCCAGGCAGAAAACACAGTCTCAGTTCTTTGGTGTCTGCTTCGTCTCATGATATCCCTATTGTCATGAATAATGGAAACATAATTTATGGCCAGTACGTTAAAATCAAACAACCTGGGTTCAAATCTGCCTCATGCTGAGTGTGAGATTGTCTATTTTCTGGGCGTCAGTGGGCAGAGAGCCATTTGCTATGCTTGGGCTGTTTTTCAGGGCAACTGGCATAGCTCTAATGTCCTCATAAGCAGCAGCGACTGACCTCACTTAATGAGGATTAATGCCGGATCAGATTGGAGTTTGTGGCCGTCCAGACACACTTCATCCTGCCCACCCCCACCTGCCGGTAATTGATTGCACTCATTGAGGGTCTGTGTCCGTGCGCAACCTCTGGGAACATGTGTTAAATACGCTGACTCGGAAAACAGAAGTTTAAATTGGACCGGGAGAGGAAGAGGAACGAGGGGGCAGAGATATGCAGGATTACATGCTCGCAAGAGAAGGGACAAATGGGATTTTAAATAATGTTTTTGACATGGATCACCACATCCCCGAGAGTGTATTGGTTCTATGTTAATCATTATGTTGCAATGGGCAACCAAAATGATTAAGAATGACGGTAGACTGGTGCTGAGGGTTGTTACATTTCAAGCAAACACAGCAGTGTGCATCTAAGTAGAGGTTTTAACAGTTGTTAGTTTGATCTGAGAAGCAATCACATTGTGTGAAGCTTACAGTTCTACCAGAAAAAAAATTCGCGCTTTGATCTTAAGATTGAATGCATCGGGGAATCATATAAAGACATCTGGTCCTAACAGTATGTTTAAATTAGATCGAAGCATCCTAGTTTCAGCTGCCACTGGACAGAAAAAGAAAAATAGCAGCGAGGTGTTGTTTATCAAATACACTCAGTTAATTTGTCAGGAGTAAGTGTGAACTGGTCTGGGGGGCATTGTTGGTTGCTGGTAATTGCTGGTCTGGATTATTCAGCTGTGTGTCAACACAATGCCAATAAAACATGAAAAATAACCTCATTAAAGGAACTGTTGCCAATTGTCAATCTGACAAGGCTTACATGGTCATTTCCAAACAATCCAGTGTCAATTACTTCAGGAGTGAGAAAGATTATCCGCACGTGGAAATCATTTAGACCAGTTTTCCAATGCTCCAAATACCGGACATCTGTGTTAGTTTACTCCAAGAGCACGCGGTGCAATTCACAGACATAAAACTGCATAAAAGAATGATAGAAAAATAACACAAGCTTCGTCTCACACTTCAAGCCTCAGGGTTTGGAATGGCCTCGACTTTCATCTTCTGTCTCCCCTTAAAGCCAGTGTCAAAATGTTTTTTTCTAAAAAAAAAAAAAAAAAAAAAACTGCTAGGTGCATCAAAGAAATCCAAACTTCTCCAGATTGTGTTTCTGGCCAACAAAATCAGACCACAACCACTTTTCCAAAGTTGGTCACTGATGAATCTGAAAATTGGCAGATTTGCCTGTCAAACAATTCTTAATTTTAAAAACACAGTGCAAAGGAAGCAGAAAACAATAGAGAGTATGCCAAAGGGAATATAAATTCGAAACTCTTCTGTAGGGCAAACTTGTTCTGGAGTCAGAAGGTCATAAACAGGAACAATAATCCCAAGCACAGCAATGTGTCTGCAACAAAAAAGCTGAAAAAAGCCCAAACATCAACCACATTGGAACGCTCCAGTGTGACCTCACGATAGTCGAGCATAAATTACTGTCCACAAACCCCTGTCATCTGAAGCAAGCTTGTGCAGAAAAGTTGGCCAAAATTCATCCACAACCTTCTGACACTCACTGCATCATCAAGAAAATGATTATTTCAAGTTACTGCTGCCAAAGGTAGATCCACAAACTACTTAATGATCTGACACAATTAAGATTGTACCGTCTGCTTAAGGATTTCTGGCTTAGTTTGTGTTGTAAAGTGTTCTGTGTTTTTGTTTCTAGCATGTTTTCCTCTCTCTTTTCTCTCAGCGGTGGTGTCCCATATCTGTAGGTTTCTCTCACACATCACAGCTATATATAGCCTTTCATGGCTGCTGAGTAAGAAATAAACTTTGGGAAGAAAAAGAAACGAATCGCACATCGTACACAAAAGTATATAGGCATCAACGAGACAAAAATAGACACAACGGAACGGGCGAAGTGTTTTACTGTCCACTGGAATGTGTATCAGGGCCGGTCAGTCAGGAGGAACGGGTGGGTGGGCTTGGCGGCTTGGTGAGGGTGTTGTGTGTCGCCTCACTGGTGGCCACTAGTCATACCGGCCCTTCAGTCAAGCTCTCCAGTGGGAGGGTGGTGGCATTGTCAGTGGGCTGCTGGTCGTCCTCAGGGTGTGAGGGCGTGTTGGTGGTGGCAGCCAGACTGGCATAAGGCAGATGGCAGTCCGTGTGCAGAAAGGGAGGGTAGTGCTGGCGATAGCTGATGTAGGCGAACAGCAACCCAATCACTCCCCCCACAAAGGCGTCTGCAAAAAACACAAGCGCACAGATTTTTTTTTGTACGGCGTGCCTGTATCGCTAATTTTAACCGATACCTGGCAGGAGATAAATAACACCCGCTGTCTAAGAATGGGCTTGGTTAATTAGGCATTACTGTACGTATTGTTCTGCTTCAGTAAACATTTATCGTGCCTGACTAGTCTAAAGGTTGTTGAAGGTACCATAAGAGGCAAATCTGTGAGTCTATTTGATTAAGCACTCTGCTCCCTTGCCTCAGGACAGGCTGTTTCTGACACTTTGTCATATGCTTAACAGTTCTTTGTAGGATCCAGTCCCTTTACATATTACAAGGTTGTGGTGTTATTAAGCATACATTGCTGAGAGTAGGTCATAATTAAACCTTTTGGTGGTTGGAGGAGAGATTAGCCTTCAGTAACATATGATCAGTGTTTTCCCTGTATTTACCATGGCTAGATGAAACAAAATGAAATCATGCATCAATTTCCACCCCTCAAAAACAGCAAAGTATGTGAAATTGCAATCTGTTTGTTCCACAGACTCCTGTCAAATGAGTTTAACAGGCTTCATCTTGATTTGATACATTAGTTAAGTAGCTTTTCCTCCACCTCCAAAGTGCAAAGGGATGGGGAGAGTGTTAATATCCATCAAGCAACGGTGTAGCAGCTGGGCTAATGGGAGCTCCCAGCTTGTGTTTATGCTGGGAGCAGATTGAGGCCCCTCAAGTTTAATGGACTGCACTATTGCTAATAACTTACTACTTTCAGTCTGTATTGAAGAGATAGGAGAAGTGAAGACATTGAGAGGATTCAGAGAATCATCGGTGTGCTGATGACAATTCAAGTGTCATGCATTGGGTGCAAATGGATCCTATGAAAAAAAATCAAACTGTTTTTTTATCTGCCTGGGAACATATAGCGCTCCAAAACTAATTAACACCACATAACCAAGCTGTCTTCATGTTATTGTATATTTCCCACACATTTACAAGTCGAGTTTTATCTCCCCGTCCGAGTCTTGCTTGAGTTTTTCCAAGACAAATAAAAATGCCAAAAGCTTGATATTTTAGATAGCCTCCTGCTGAATAAAAGGTTTCTTCACTTTCATCTGAAACAAAAATCTTTTTTTCTGGTTTGTAAATTCTGAATTATCCGTGAGGTTTCTACAAACGTGAACACAACCACTTTGAACTGAAGCAGAGCCTTTGGGCAAACCTTGCCAGTGGTGTTTGTAGTCACAGGTCCGGGACAACGCGATCATCATGGCGCTGTAAAGAGGCAGCAACATGGCGCAGAGACGCCAGCTGCGCCCTCGACCCTGATCCGTAAAGCACTGCAGCTTTCCCGCCAGGTAGAAGGAGGTGAAACCAAGACCAGAGAACGCAACTGGAGGGCAGACAAGGAGAAGGAAGAGACCTGCATCACCATCAAACAGCAAGGAATGTGATTCATTGGAACTGATGGATTGATATTTTCTTACAAAGAATTTGATTGTAAATGGCTTGAATTTGGCTTTATCTATGAAGTGCCTTGAGCTGACATTTATTAGGACTTGGCACGATTAAATAAAATAAAACTGCACTGACTTGCATTGATTTGACAGGTATTGTTGCATCTATCAATGTATCAACTTAAAAAAAACACCAGGTGGATAATGTCTCTGCGGCCCAGTCTTGAAAATGTTCATGCGCGTGAGTGTTTGTGAGAAAACAGCATTTGAGAAAAAAAATCTTAAGAAAAGATCATTGTTGCAAGTTTACTCAACTGCCACCCACTCGCAGGTAATCTCACTGTGGGATCAAACTGCCGTCCATTAGCCAAAACCTCCTGTTCTAAATCACAGCAGCAGGTGCCTCAGAACAGGCAAAAGTCAGCAAACGAGTTCATTTAGCAAGCTGCTCTGAGCACAGCCCACACAATGACAGACTCACTTACTGTAATAGTGTTGAATGGTCTTGGAAAGCCTTTTAAATGTATCACAAAAAGATTAGCGGAAAATGATTACAGAAAGACATGATGAATTATGTCGTGCAACATGCAGTTAAAAGCCAAAGCTTACCTAACCCTGTGCTAAATTGAAGGGGAAGAAATTACTCGTGGCAAAATTTACTCGCAAATATATAAAAAGTTGTGGTGGTCTCTGTTTATGAAGGGCTGAGCAACAGAACAAGAAGAAGTTATACTGTGACAAGATAAATAGCATCCATTAGCCCCCTGTTTGTCACTCCAACTGTAAGTCGGTCAAGCATTCCAAAGACACTGGACAAGCACGTGGAGCCTGCAGCTGCAGACAATGGGTGGAGTGAAATACAGAGAAAAAACTATTTCATGCAAGTCTTTCCTAATTGGCAACCTTAAAAGTTTGGGACTCTAGTTTGCTTGAATGCATTTGTGTTGCAAAGTGAACATCCAAAGTTAAATATTTTCCATAGACCCAATCTGATGAGGGCTCACTGGCTGGATGCATATTCTGTCCATCTGTGAATTTTCCCTCTAGAAAGACGGATCAAATAGGACTTCATATTGGCACTGATAGGGGTGTTTCAGGTGTGCACATGCAGAAGACAATGGCTCCAACAGAACCAGCACTGATGCCAAAGTCCTAACCCAGTGTGTAGGTGTCTTGTAAGTGGCCGTAAATGGAAACACAGAAGATGAAGCTGATAACTGACCGTAGACTTTTATCCCTCCACTATGAGGACTATTGAACTCTTCTCTGCACCGCAATATGTATATCTTGTGAACTATAACTCTACAGTGAGTTTGTTTTGAAATGTACCATCCATCAGTGTTAGGATTCGAGACTTGAGTTTCTAATTTCACAGCTCTGGCAGTTTGTTTGTGTTCAATGTTTTTTGTGACAGCAAGCGATTGCACCGTTCCCTGATGTAAACCCACGTAAAATCTGACTAGTCATGCCAATTTCAGTCATGTCACACTAGCCAAACCTGGCCATCGGCTCAATTCATTTATGGTTTCACAGCTCCTTACATAGCAGGAATAAACGTTTAAAATAGCAAATTTCCATCTGTAGATATCAACAGATACCTCTATCTGTCATCATCATCATGCAAAGGAGACATAATTCTGGACCTGGGGGATTCAATTAAATTGTACTGTACGACGAATGAAGTCTTAAAATGAAATAAAGTCTGCACAAATAAAGTTTTTGTCCCCAGGAGCCACTACCTCGTAGATCTGAGATGTTTCCACGCTCCACACGCCTGATTCAGATTAAATGGATTTCTCAACAGCGTGCTATAAAGTTCTGCAAAAATCTTTTTATAGACCCAATGATTTGCGGCAGAGGGGTTCAAGCAGGAAATCGTCTAAAAAAGTGCTAGACTGGTCTATCTGCCTTGAGGCCAACAAAATAGAAAGAAGAGGCAGTGCCATTAGATTAAAAAAAGACAGTTGGCAGATAACAGACAGTAAAAGTAAGTGGACTGAGGTAGATTAATCATTTGCAGATGCTTAAGTTTAAAGAAGCTGGTAGACAAAGGGGTAGAACTCGAAAGTGGATACCTTTAGACAGTTGAAAGGTTTCGGGGAAAAAACATGAATCATGCTATAGTTGAAGTTAATTGGCACCTTGTGCTACAGAAAAGAGTTCAATTCATCACCGTCCTAACAAACAGCCTTCACAGCCAACCCACAGCTTTTACAGAAAAGAGCAAAACCGTTTTAATGCTCCGATCATCAGGGGCCTCTGACTGAACATCCCTCAGTGCCCATCCATCTAAATTCACTGTAAATGCTTCACATTTCCAGCTACACAACTACTTAAACACTTTGTTTTAATAGCTCAAACCATAGCTAAGCAAATTCCATTATTCATTTGGAAGAAGAGAACAAAATTATGCATGGACCACAGACTCCGTCTACCCACTGAATAGCATGGATCTTCAATGGCAGTGTCCCCCAGAAAATTACACATCACTAAAACATCTCACATTTTTCCACAGGGCCGATCCACCTTTTCTAACTTCAGTTGTGACTTTTGAAATAGAGATTAAGCAGAGCTTTATCAACATCACCCTTAAAAGATTGTCTGCTACTTTACCTGTTCTCTTTCTCTGCATTGTTGTGATGAACCAAAAAGGAGCAGTTACACTTCAGCTCAGCAATATGAGAAATCCACTTAAACCTTAAAGGTTGAACATATTGATTCAACATTCTACATTGGCAGTACTAAGAGGAAAATAAGATGAACTCCTACTGACTACACAGACGAACATTACACTCCAGCCATTTTTCTTCGGATTCAAAACATAAAACTGAACAAACAGAACCATGCCAGACAATTACATAAAGCAATAAAGATTTTGGATCACTAAAGCATGACTGAAATGGTTCAATGTGGAAGAGAAGGAAACTTTTACGCTAAACCAACACATTTCTACAAACAAAATTAGCATAATTAGCATGGGAAATGGATAATGCAAGTATCTAATAACCACTGAAGGATGCTCCTGGGGAGTGAGCACTTGTTCCCAAAAGGCCAAAAGGACAGAAAATGGGGGAAAACATCATGGTAATGAATCTGTTTTATTCGTCTGTAAAGCCTGGAAAAGCAACACCCCAGAGACCAAACAAAGATGCCTAATCAGAGTGATGAGTGCAGTGCAAATGCTTTTTCATCTTTTCATAAACACACGAGGTAAGCTCAGAAGCTGCCAAGCGGTAATTTTCATGGTAATCAAGAGGTGAAACATGTAAACAAGGCAGAAGTCAGACATGTGACTAAAGGGACGAGAAGCAGGAAAGGTGTTGGGTAAAGAAAATTAAGCAAATGATTTGATTTTAGACCCTTAGGCCCCTTTCTTAGCACACCTATGACTGGCTACATTTGCAAAAATCCTAGGGTGAAGATTTATATAAAGTTCAGTACAGTTGTTATGCAGTTAGCAAATAATTATAAAAGTCCTGTGTTTTCTACACCCCTCTTACACTCCTTGTTCTCATATTTGATATTTACAATATACAAGATAAAAACCACATTAAGTAATTCTGGGCAAAAATCCCAGAGGGAGGTCAGCCAGCTATCAGAGCTTCAGATAGGGGGAAACACCAAAAAATTACAACAAACTCACAACACTTGTAAGGAGTTCAACAGCAGCTACTGAGTGACAGCACTGTGCATCAGTTGGATTGATTTCCAGGAGGCATATATATATACTAGAATGCTTGGATTTCTGCAAAACCCACATCATACAAAGAGCCATCATCAAGAATTTCGGTGGACTGCAGGAGCCCATCATTCCAAACCAGTTGCAGAAGTTCATATCAAGTACAGCATCAATCAAGTAATGGACTTTGTCCCTTTAGCTGGTATTCTTACACTTACACCTCTGAACCAAATCTGCCCATAGAGTGATTATGGTCGGTCCTTAATGTTAAATATCTTAATAAATCTTACATTAATAGAATGTGTAGTAAATATTTCTATTCCTAGTTAGTGCATGAAAAGTAACACAACCTGTCTCTGACTTCACCACACAACCAACCACCCATTAGCATATTGGCCTAAACTATAGGGTATAACAAAACTAAACAAAGACTATATTAAGATTTCACAACAATCACTTTAAAAAGCCATGAGTAGGGTGGATGGGCGTTTTATTAAGAGCTAAGCTTAATGAATAACGAACACCGTGATTCGAGGGTGAACGGCTGCTCTTGTGTGCAGGCTTTAATTAAATGTCAACACAACAACAACAATGCATTCATAGCACCAAGTTCTATTCATGTCTGTTCACTTGCTTGGTTCAGCTTTCTAGTTTCTTTTAGAGGTGAAGACAAAGTAGCTGTGAATGACAGGTGTGTTAACTGCCTCATAGTGCGTGCTGGGGTTGCCCTAACTGGAATTTAAAATTTTCGAATAAACTATTGGGATACAACTTTGAATGAACAGACAAAGCTGTGAAACTGACATCGTAAAACTCTCCATTTCATAGTTCATAACAGCTTCTCTCTCCTATTCTGACCTTTGACCATGCAGAAACAGATGGGACAGTGCTCCGTCTCTCACCAGAAGGGAATGCATATTGACCTGCCCCCTGGGTCCTTTGGGGGTCTCATCAGTGAACACACAAAAACTCAGAGAAGCCTCTCTACTATCCACTCTGCCCTGAATTGTGCCCGACTGTCTGGAAAAATGGATGAGTGTTAGTTTTTTCTCACCTGATTTGTACCCTGAAGCATGGTGATTGATATTGTAAGCTATATATAATTAAATAGATTGAAATAGATTGCACCAGATAAGCAGCAATGTAATTGGATCCATTTCACAGGATTCACATAAACGTTAAACGTTAAAGACATCAGATAGCTTTTCACAGAGTTTATTAACAGATCAGTATCAAATGGCTTGATATGCACAAAGGGAGATGACAACTTGAATATGAATAAGATTCCAGTAACGGCTTTGCTCTAGTTACCGACGGCAGCGTTGCATCAGGGGAGTTTGTTTCCCTTTCTCCAGGACCTGTTTTCTCCAATTTCTGTTATTCTGTCACTTTGGTACGAAGTGAGGAAAAGAAATCTAATAATGGAAAACGTGAGATGCCTTACAATCTTTGGAATGTAATAGAAATAACTCATGTATTTCATAAATTGGCTGTCATCAAACAAACCATGTGTGTATGTCCTTGTGTGCGATTGATTTTTTGGGTTGGTTCATCCACAGTTCCAGAAAAAGTGGAACGCTGGGAAGAAGATTTAAAAAAAGAATGCATTTGTCTATACCCTGGACTGGCGGACCGTCCAGGGTATACCCCGCCCCTCGCCCATTGATTACTGGGATAGGCTCCAGTCCTCCCGTGACTCATTTGGGAATAAGCGGTTCAGAAGATGGATGGATGGATGGATGGATGGATGGATGGATGGATGGATGGATGGATGGAATGCATTTGTTTGAAAAGCTGACATTTAAATGCAGCATTTGCTTTTTGTCTGTGTCAAAACTTAATAGCTCATCGTTAATTTGAAGGCAGCAACATGCCAATGAGTACAGATCCCCGCATTCTATTTTCTTTAACACTTTTGCAAATATCCCCAACTTTTCTGAACCAGGCTTGTATTTCACCATGCTCCAAATGTTTGACAAAAGCAAGTGGTGATGGTGTGTTCTCTACGATAGTCACTTGACTTTTAGAGATTGTTTGACCTCGTTCATCCATCCTCTGTTCCATTTGTGAGAGTACAAGCTCTGTTACTTAACTATTGTTGAAAACGAACACGCTTAGAAAATGGGATTTCGTCTGGTCTTGAGATGTGTTGCTATGGGTGCTCATTGTGTCTCAGAGTGCACTGCCCTCCGGATCGCTTTCTTATAAGCAACAACAAAGGGCTTTTAGAGCTATTGCATTCAAATGAGTGGGTCTTCATCAGCCTTCTGCAGAGCTTAAAGACTTGAAGAGTTGTCCCATTTACTCGAATCAGATGTGCCTGAGAAGGGTCAAATGGGAAAACAAGCAGGACTGTGTGCCTTGAGGACCGGGGCTGGAAAGCATTGGTATAGATTCACTTAATCCAGATTTGTATTTATAAGCAGGTGTTGAGGAGCGCTGATTAAGAATGAACAAAAACATCCATTTCAAATCAGATTGATCCATGAAAAGACTGTTAATTTGAACAATAATTGCATAAACTCTCATATACTATGCTGCCTTGTTATGCTACTATAATACTTATGAAACCTGTTGAAGAAATATCCAAGGCAACATTTATGAATTCACACCTCTTTGAGGAGCCTACATCGAGCACACTTACCTCATTATGTGTGGCGAGCAAAAGCAAACAAAACAACGGAAATCTGGAACATAGTTGCAGTCCACAAGACAGGTTGAAGGTTTCCTTTGATACTGCAGGACTGTCAGCAGGAGGTTCAGAGTAATTTTACAGTTGTCGACTTGCCGACACACAATCAATAGAGCAAGAAGAGAAAAAAAAAAGCTTCCAAGGCATACAAAGATATGCTTCTATGTTCCAATGCAGAAATAAAAAAAACACAAAACAAAACATGTGGTTATCTTTTTAAATGATGCAGTTTTCAAATGGATGCCTTTAAATGCTCCATACACCATAGAACTGAAAGGCTGGTCCAACACCTGCGTGGCCCAGAGCAAACCATACCTTCCACTTTCCGCTCATCTGCTAAACAACTGAAAAAGGTGTGAATTATTTAGTGCGCCACTAAGGTGAAAACAGCTTGTACAGCAATATGGTGGGACGGATGCTTTCTGTACCAAGCTGGTCTGTGCAGCTGCGTGCAGCTGGAAGCCAGATCAAGAAGAATCGTTTGTGTATCAGTTGTTCAAAAAAGGAATCACGTGACTCAGTAACATGTAAAATGGATCCTGTCATACTTTCAAATATCAGACTAAACACAAAGAACCAAAGCATCAAGTTCAAACGGACGAATAGTTATTTACGCAGTTGTAATAAGAGTCAATTAATCTTTTTATTTGGTCTTTTTATGTGATCTGCCTTGTGATACTCACAGGACGAATGGCTGCTGGGGAAGCTCTTGCGTCCCTCTGAGACAACCTCTGGCTCCCCAGTGCACAGCATCTTTGCGTTCACTTGTCCATCAGGGAAACAACGCTGTAAATAATCTGGCCTCGGCCTGGAAATCAAAGGAAGGTAACCCATTTAAATAGTCAAACAATCTATTCATCACAAAGCAAGTAAGACAGCTTTAAGGCTTGGCGTTTTGCATCCCGCTTAAAGCTTGTAAAATTCCACAGTTTGTTCAGCTTACCTGCCTACAATCAGTTTGATAGTATTGGTGAAGACTCCATTTAAGGCCAGAGCCAGAGACACAGCTGGAGAGGGAGAGACACATTAGTATTAAGTCTATTATTCAAAGTCATATAACACAGGGGGCTGACGTTTTTCAGATAAGTAACAGTCATGATGTAATAAAATAATCAATTCTCCCTCTGGTTTCTGGCTCCTCTGTTATAATATATAAATAAAAGAAGATAGATCTAAGGGAATTTATTTCTGTGCAGGACAGATGGTTGTCAGGATCAATGTGTGAAACAGCTTCTCATCATTTCAGAGAATTGACAGAAGCAATTAGATTCAACACAAGCCTAACTGGCTGCCCTGTGAGAATTCTCACAGGCATGGTGGCACTTTTAGCTGAATTCACATATAAAATCACCAGAGTGACCTCATCCAGTTGCACATTTTTCATCTGAGCTTGTCTGCAGTTTAGATCCATGTTAATATGCGCTAAGTACTGTAAGTCCATCTAGGGCTGATGGTAAAGTTATCCAGGTATATTCAAAAGTAAAAATTAAGGTTGTGGCATCTGCTCTGTTGCCATCTGGGGTAACAAAAAACTATTAGGACTGAATATAGTTTCCTCTGACAGTGGTCAAGAGGACATTGTATAAATGAGCACGTAAGGCGTGCATATCAAAGTGAGGAGATCATTCATGTCACTGAAGAAAGTGAGACAGATTTTTGCAGCTAAAAAGATAAATGAACCTGTTGTTGAACGAAAACAACTCTGTTGTCTCCTGTAAACCTCCCTTTTTTATTCTCCATTCCCATATTTTTCTCTCCTCTGCCTCTCTCTTTCTGTGTCACTTTGTATTTCTATGCGAGTGTGTGGGTGTGTGTGTATCTGGAGATTTAATCAGCTTACTACATGATAATATAATCTGATGAAACACTAAAGCACAGTACGTCTACATGGAACTTCCCTCCAGTCCAGCTGAGATTGCTGGACTCAGCCACCATGGTACATACATTTTATTTTCTCCTTATCTTCTTTTTACCTTCAAGCTTTCTTTTAAAGAAAAAAAAACAATCCTGTCCCTCTGTGCCACGGAACTCTATTAAAGCCATCCCTCCCTGCACGTGAGTGCCTTCAGCGCAGCTTCCGCATCTTCATATCTGATTTACAACTAACTTTGCCTTCAACCAGGCAAAGTTGCTCTCGGTGCTTCATGTTATCACAATAAACTAAGCAAGCAGGCACTGAGTAACAATTCATTTTACTACTTTGATGAATGATTCATCTCCTGGAGGCACACACACAGGCCAGTCCGCAGATGTAACGTCTCCAGTGGGTCCTGGCTGTAGATATTGGCCAGCGCTGTGTACAAAGCTCTCAAATTAGCTTTAATCACACCCCTAGAACTGGGCAGAGACCATAGAGCCATTCAAGAAAAACATTTGAAATATTGTGCACACAATACTTGCTAATATCTTAGTTGCTTGGAACAGAAAGCAAGGGGGTATCTTAACAGACTAAGTGAGAGAAGCAGAGCAACAGCTCAAACCGGACTGAGGCAATCACTTCCTTGGCTGAATGCTTGTCATGGGAACATGGGAGAATTGCGGTTGGTCAGCACGTTGCACTTCACTTCAAACCAAATGCTCTCTTAACTAGCAATAGAGAAAACCACTGGGGCTAATGATGAGGGAAAGAGTTCCTCATCACCGGTCAATCAGAACGGTCTGCAGCGAACCGGAGTTCGCTCACATTTTTGCCGGCGCAGAAGTTGCCAGAATTCACTCTTATTATCTCCCAAAACCGCAGAGAAGAGATCTCTGCCAGGATTATTTATCCACTCTTGGTTATGGATAGTCGAGATCAGCTGAATGCCCAAAAAGCAGCGGCATCTGTTTGACATGGGCTGCATTTAAATTTGGTGTTTTTTTAAATGCCATTCCATTAAACTAGGGCTCCCACAGTAGCCCTGACCACCCTGACACAGCAGATGGTTTCCTTTATGATGTTATGGATCTTGAGAGAATGCAGCTGCCTAGCGAAGCAAAGCCCTGCTGCAGCTGACAATCTGTGCTATCGTCATTTATGTTGCTGTTTGGAATCCAAACATCTACGCTGAACATGTTTGAGTGGCTAATCAAACTAATGAAAATTCAATTTTCTGCTCTCAACTCGCAGAGTTAATGCATGCCTCACTGAAGATTGCTTTCAATGTTGATCTCACCTTGAATCTATTCAATATATGGCAAGGATCGGCAAACTTCAAGTCAGCAGCATCTACGTCCATCTTCATGAAATAGGATTCAAATTGCACCTTAGCAAAACAGCCTTTTGCCACATTGCTGAGTTTCAAGTTAGCATTCTATGTAATAAACTACCGTATTTCGTAATTTCTTTTCTGGCAGTGCTGATCAATGTAATTGCTGTTTCTTAACAAATTGCTTTTATTAAGGTTTTACTCCTGTACTTCTATAACCTGAAGGTTAAAGCCTTGACACGCTTGATAAAAATCTGTCACGGTGCTGGGCGAAAAATATGAGTCTTCTAATGCATCTTAAACAATTATGTCTCTTCATGCTATTTGGATGAGTAATAATAGTGTCGAAACCAAAATTAAAAACAAGTACTACTGTTAGTGTGTCATTTTCGAAGCGGTAGCCTTGTGGAACACGTAATCCCCAGATGGCTTCATTATGTTCTGACTGAAATATAATCGTGTTAATCAGTAGCATTACTTTGAAAATGATAAAAGGTTATCAGACTATTCTATTACAAGAACGCTGTTTTGTTTTTGTTTTTTTTCCCCTCACAGAAGGATAAACAACCAGTGCGAATGTAGGATGCTCTGAATTAATCAATGAATGCAGCACATAGGCAAAAACTAATTTCAACTTGTGTTCCAAGGACTCAAATCCAGCCTCAGCGCTGCAATTTATGCAAGCTATAATATCTCGTTATAAAAAGCTCAGGAACTCAGAATTAAAAATTAGAGGCCCCAGCGGGGAAAAGAACCTAGCTGAAGAAAATATATGAACATTGGACGGCTTCTCCTGTAAAATTTTAGCTTTAAGAAATGAAGAGGGTATCTCTGTAGCTAAAAGGGAAGTGAACAGACATTTTAATTAAAAATAATCTAAAGAAATGTGGCTATCTTGTTAGGTGTGAGGATTGACACCCATCAAATGTGTGGAAATAATGGGCTCCCTGTCACTCGCTGTTCTCTGGGGTTTTGCTGTTTCTCAGGGCTGCTTGTAGTCCTTCTCTGCGGGCGGTGGGAAGCCTGTTAACTTCTACACAGCTCTGTAATCTCTGCACTGCTGCTCTGAGCCACCCTTTCTCTCCTGATTCATCTCCGCATCTCTTTAATTGGATTTGTGTTCAACTTTCTTAATGCTTTCTAATATGCCACAGCCTCTGCAGATTCCTCAGCTCTTGGGGGATGGTGCTAAACAGGAAAAATATCCGGGTTGGAGAAACCCCCCCCCCCGATTCCCTTTGAGGATGAGACTAATGGCGTGAAATTTCAAATCGGTAAATAGCCATGGCTGCTCAGATTAAGATTAATATCCATGATACACTGATGCCAACCGCCACAGAGGTCACAGAAGCTACACTATTAAGAACAATAAAGTATTTATGTAAGACCTATTCGCTTCAGGGGAGAACCGGGGAGAGACTGGAGATATTGAACTGAAAGAAAATTACAGAGAGATATGTTTTCTTTTCACACTTCCAACATCTTTTAAAGAGAAAATGATGCTATTGCAGCATCTGCCATCAATTACACGTTAACATGCCAAGCTATTCTTATACTAAAGTATTTATATACTGTTTGAAAAATAAACAATGTATGTGTGGAAGGCTTTTTTTTCTGAAGTAGACGGTTTGACTCCACTCTTCCCTTCAGAGAATTTTCATCTTTTTTATCACGTTTTTTTTTCTGTTTTTGCATAGTTTTCAAGACTGCTTGGTTGCTGTTAGAAAAATGATAGTTTTGCCTTGAATTGCGCTTCCTGTTGTCGCAAGTTCTAAGTCGGATGGAATGAGAAAAAAATTACCTTGTTGCTTTGCACAGAGAAGAAAACACTGAGGGCCACAAAGGATGAGAGGGCTGAGGGTTTCTCATTTACAAGATAAATATGGGGAGCGGGTAACACATCTGCATGTGACTAGTTCACTGAGACCAGCTCCTGCAGGCTGACTCACAGCTACACATCTATAATGCTAAAAGGTAGACATTCCACGCACCTAAACACGCCTCTTTGATCTCTGTCTTGTCAGTCCTCTGAATGATCTTCACCACAAATATCACCGCCAGTGGAGTTAGGAATGAAATAGCCTATAAGGAAATAAACATAATAAAAGACAAACAATTATTACTGTGAGACTAAAGACACATTACAGCAGTTCTCTGCATTTGCTTTGCTGCTTAATCGTAATAAGAACTTTTCCTCAGGGCATGACCTGAACACGCTTATTACTCAGAGTTAATTTTACCGATGAAAAATGAAGTGCAAAACAAGCCCCTTTATTGTTTGGTGGTTTTGCTGTCTGCACAAATACAATTTTCTCCAAACAACTTGAGAAGAGATTTAGGCCCCCTCAGCACAAAGGTAATTATTCTTGCCAAAGGATGTATTAATTACTTCCAAGACAGTTTTTTACATATATTTCCCACACATTAGGTTGAAAAAGATTAAACATTAGTCACAGTTTTATATCTGTGTGACATTACAGACATACTGCAACGCCAGTCCAAGTATTGTTAGAATATTTAACAATTCAAACTAATTTAAAAATTATTCCTGAAAAAAAAAAAATGAAGGCAACAGTGTGGTGGCATTCAGTAGCATTTGAAAAAAGAAAGAAAGAAAGAAAGAAAGAAAGAAAGAAAGAAAGAAAGAAAGAAAGAAAGAAAGAAAGAAAGAAAGAAATCCCACTTATAAGAGACTGAACTAAAGCAAAACCCTATTAAAGCTGGTTCAGCTGTTTTTTTCGGCTGGGTCGCAGATATTTGTTTCACTGTTAACGGCATCCAAAGTATAATCATAATCTCAAGGACAAAAAGATTCATGAGTAATTGGTTACCATGGAAACACTTCGAAGTGTCTAAACATGCCTTAAAAAATTTCTGATGGCTACGTTACGATATAACATTAAAAGATTGATCAGATCCAGACAATTTCAGTGAGAATTTATATCCCTTTTTATCTGAAAATAAAAAGCATTCTGCATTCTGTAAATAGAAATTACAATGAAAATAAATGTGGTTATCCTTTGACACAAATGTCTACTGGTATGTGGCTTAGTGGTAGAAATGCTCATTATGTGTGCATATTAATGCTGTGAATGATGTAGAAGTTAAATAGCTGCAATATCCATATTAAGATAATGTTCGGAAAGCTAAATACAATAATGGCCTGTTTAGATATTCTAATTGTGACATTTTGTTTCAGTGATCCAAGAATGGTGTGTGCATTATAGGACTCGACAATAAATTCCTGCCACTTCCCCTCATGAGAAGATCTAAGGGGAATTCTTGAGGCTACCTTGCGGCTAACACTGTATATGTTTTAATTAAGGTCACAGTGAGATGTAAGGAAGTTATAAATCCTGTCCATGGACTCTTATCCACAGCCAGATGTACTCTGCACACCTTGAGGGTGTGCTATAAAGAACTGCTATAAAGAAAGTGACAATATTAAAAAGAAGCTGACTCAAAGGTGTCAACTCTAGGAGAATATTCCCAGAGACATGTAGCTGGTGGAGGACGTTGGGGAGAGGGACATCTCTCCAATTTATGATTTAGAACCAATGACCTGTGGACATGGAGGTTAATATGAACTGGCAACACTTTTCTTAAACATATTGGAAAAGGCTCACAGAAATGTCAAAGCACAACTGATAGCAGAACAAGCTCCAATGTTTATACTTTGCTTTTGGCTGAAAACTGAGCCCTGCAGATGAGTGGCCAGATTGTGAGATTTTTTCTATGTGGGTTTTCCTCTTGATTGGCAGCCATTTCTATGACTAATGCTCCTTCAACCACTAATCACAAAACACACATCAAAATGATGTGCTGTGGATTATTCTAAACTTTTTTTTGTTGTTGTTCTGTACAAAGCAGTTTCCATTAATGTTTCACTCATTTCATTTCAGTTACTGGTTGATCTGGCATGGAATCATCACAGATGGTGGAGGATGAAGGACTTAAAACGCATAAATGAGCCAGCAGGAGGTGTAGGGGAAACCGAGCTTGATTTACTGGACGATAACTGAAACAAAAAGAACGGTAGAGCCGGGAACACCGTGAGACTGAACAGAAAAAACAAAACCAAAGACAAGGCTAACAGGGACGATAAAACAACATGGAGTCAATCACGTGCTGGGATCTTGGCAAAGACTGAGGCAAACTGAGGACCTGAATGACTACGGCTGTGGGTACTGAAGACAGGATGAGGTGGCAGTGATGATGACCTGACTGGGAAGGAACTTAGGAAATTAAGTACAGAGAACAAACAACCGGATAATTGAAGTGCCACAAAACACAGCACACACCCACAAACACAATGATTAATAATTAAACGACGGTATGATCTAAAGCTCAGTCCTAACTTGCTGTATTTGCTTTCAATTTTGTTCAGCCGTCTTTGGAGAGAAAGTATCACATTGTAGAGAAAGCTCCACGGTAGCTGTCACCATCTCTACATTGAAGTCGCTTCCAGTTTGAGCTCACAGCCAGCTTTCCAGATGTTTCTGCACATACGAGGTGACTGATGCATGCAGAGGTGCAGAGTAAGAAGTGCCAGTCACTGACAGGCAGACAGTTCACAAAGAGGGGAGCAAAAAAAGAAAGAAAAACGGGATAGGCAGATTTTTTTTACTTTGATCCAAGTCAAAATTTGGAGAAAGAGGATGTGAAACTTTTCTACCTTGAACCTCATTAAATCAAATATTTGTTTGCCAAACAAACAAATTAATAAATTTGGTGGGGGCTGCAAAAGACCAACAAAAAGATAATTTTTGGGAAAACTGAGTAAAACATGTTCCACAATTTTGAGCCCCTGACAGCATATGGTCTCTGAAAGAAAGAACTTTGTTCGGGTACAGATGTGTTTGAGATGTGCATAAAAATGAAAAAAAAAGTAAAAGGTGAGTGCTCTAAAAATCGATGGCTGAGTCTGAAAATAAGTTCTGTAACAGTAGGGGCTGGAGGAGCAGGCTGGGAGAAGGTGACATCCCCCACTGTCTGTTACCTTTCTACTTTAATCGCACCCTGGATTTATAAAGAGTTCCAACTTCTAAGCAAGTGACCATGCAGGTTTATGTATTATATGACCAAAGACAATGCTTACGTTTACAAAATTACACATGCAGGTGTTTTCATGTTTTATGTGATGCAGAATGTATAGACATTTTTCATATGATTATGAAAAATCAAATGAAAATTTGTATTTGTTTTTTAATTTTGAATACAGACCCTTTACATATCATAATGTTTTAGCACTGACAGCATTTGTCAGAGGGAAAGATTTTAATATCTGATATCCATTGAAGTTTAAGGAACTGGTTAAACTTCATTTCTGGGTGGCTTGACCCCATTTAATGTGAATTTTAAAATGAACCAGCGTAGACTTTGTGAGCTTTTTAACTAGTATAAATTAGATCGATTGCCAGTTATTGAAGTGAGGAACAGAGCAAAAATACTTATTCATGTAATAACATTCATTTAGGTATGATTGACTGAGATTGTAGTCCAATAGAATATGCATTTTACATATAAATTCATGTATTTAGAATAAGTAGTAACTGATAAATGGAACCCTTCTGTAACGGACCAGCATAATTTAGTCCTAAACACATTGCAGTAACAATCATCCTAAATGGGAGATTTCTGCATCCCACAAAATAACAGTTAACCAGAGGATGTGGTTCTTGTACACTGCAATTATGAACATGCATTTACGGGCAATCAAGTCTCTAAAAAGAGGCAAGCACAGTTACTTACAAACATGACCCTCTTGGGAATGTGGTCTGACTCAACTAGAGGATTCTTGTACAGCCAAAGCTCCTCCGGTTGAACAACTCTCTCAAAGGGCTCCAAAAACTCTGTGAATCTGCGGCGAAGAACAAACACACAGTTCATCCATCAGTTACCAATCACCACAGTGTTTCGCTTTCAGTGACTCAAAGTGAGAAGCAGGAAGATCTTACAGGGTAAAATGCATCATTTTTCAGTTCAGCTTGTGTTTTTTTTTACAGAGGACAGAACAATGACAGACAAAAGGCTTCAGAAAAAAAATGACAAGGAAGTCAATTCTCCCAACTACACCTCAACCGCTTTCTCAGAGAGATTTCCGAGTGGGAACAAATTAGCATCCTCATGCTTGACTCAGCCCCCTGACCACTCAGTAATCTGTACAACACAACTTGGTTTTCTGTCACTTTAACTATGTTTTTTGTCACTATGCTGTGAAATAATCAATAATCCACCCTGCAACGGAGCTCCGGGAGAACAGCCATGGAAACAAAGGTGCTTGGAATATTCAATTGTGTGTGCTTCATTCATCCCTCTCTCAGTAAAGCTCTGCAAACTCTGCAGACTGATGGAACTCATTTGAAACCTTTGCACTTCTGTGCACACAGATAATACGCGCCAATTAAGGTATAAACATGTATCCATTTTAAGCATTTCACAAGAGATCAAATCACTGCGAGAATCTCAAAATGCTGTCTTTGTGTTAACTCTGATGCTCAGAACATCTTATTCCACCAAAGTGAAACAGATGAGCTACTTCTTCCAAGTGACTCATTCCAACTTGGCAAAACATGATTTCTAGGAAGTCATAATCAATTTCCAATTTAAAAAAAGTGGCTCACACACATTGAGCCTAGATTTCCTCTCGAGCTGATTATTCATAAGGCAACATTTGTTGTTCAGAGACATGATTTTTTAAGATACATCAGATAGATAGGATACATAATCTATGACGGGCTCATGTTTGAAACACTTTACAGGATAAAGTACTGTTGTGTTGTCTGTTTCCAGATTCTAATTGATGGGCACTGAGTCCAGGGTCAACACTCATGCCTCTGTGAACCGCAGCATTAAATCCACCAACATGAGAAAGAGTGCCTCCGCTTGTTGTTAGTGAAGGAAAACCTGCATTCAGGCTTTCACCTCAGTAGCACTTTGGCATTTGCCTACTTTAGAAAACCTACTCGGGAAGACCTCAACAAGCCTGACGAAAGAGTTGAAGGGTTTAAAGTCCCCAATCTTATCTGGATTTTATGGCATTTATCTGAAGCGAGCACAATTCAAAAAGAAGGCGCTCCACATCCTGCAGAATCCAAAGGATCAGTGTCTAATGAACCAAAACCATGGTTCAGGAGAGTGTCTGACATGGGTAGGTTATGATAATGCTAAGATGTATAAGGTAAATCAAAGATTGAGTGACAGTTTTTTCTTTGAATTTTTTTCCTTAGAATTTTTATGAACTTCCATCAATCTGTGGGTGGAAAAAGCAGGGATTCTGGTTGTTATTGCTCCCACGAAATGAAAAAAAGGCAAAGAAATAGTTTCCCATCCTTTTTTCTCAGTGTTAAAGGGTTTGAGAGTGAGACAGATGATCCTTCACTCAGAGGTAAAAGTCAACATGACATCACGGCAGAGCGTACAAAGTGCACATCACATCAAGCACAGAATGTGGCCTTTTTGTTGGTCTTCTGACAACTACATGTCAATATGTTTTGTTTTTTTTTCTTTTTCTTTGTTCGAAAGCCTCGTGTCACACCTTGTTGAGTCCGTGTGCCTAATTCACTTCAGTCACATCACATTTTCTCAGAATGGGCTGTGCAGTAAATTATCCCCTGCTAATGACACACAATATCCCTCACATGCTTCATGGGTTACCACATTTTCCTAGCTTGTCCTCTCTGATACCCCAGTGTATACTTACAATCCCCGTAGGTGAATGGATAGTGGCAATTTATTGTGACAGTAATTTATCTCACACCGACTTTTTTGGATGGGTAATTGCTTCTCTACATGGTAGCAGAGCATTGAAAGCAGCAGACTGTTTCTTCCACTCACAATAGCAGTCATAAAAACAAGAATAGTAATAATAATAATAATAATAATAATCAATTGAGGCTGCCTTCAATTTTTCACACTGTCGAGTCAGAATTTCTCTTTATTTTCTAGGAGTGCTCAGTCTCAAAAAGTAAAATGCCTCCTGGACATGTAATATTCCTTCTGCTTTGGAGAACCGGTATCTAATCACATCCAACAAATCAATTCTTCCCTCAAGGATTTCCCTTGGCGGGAGATTCAGATTGAATTTTTTGCTTATCTTCTCTTTTCTAATCGTGATCTTTATTAAAAGATAAACTCTAATATATTTTGGGCACACTTCGAGGGTTTTGGGCTCCAAACATCAAAGACGAATCAATGAAGACTTCATTGTGTTTCTTAGGATGGAAGTGTCGACCTTTTGTTGGAACTAATTTAGCTTTTATTCAAATTTCATATAGGAGAAGTTAGGAATTTGTCTCTTACAGGCAGAGACTGACCACCTTTGCAATTGTGGGGAAGAAAGAGAATTGGTGATAACACAAACATCCTGACATTTCAGACTCCAGGCCTCAGTTACTATATTCAGTTTTAAAATTTATTAGGAGCTCAAGAGATCCAAATTCTTTTTGAAGAACTTCTTGAACTTAGAGAGGGGATGGGCATCTTCTGGGTTAGCACAGGGAGGAGAATGGTCTGAGTGCTGAGCTTGTGGGGGTGTCAGCACCAGAAGATGTTCCCAGGGTAAACCTGTGTCTGTATTTACAGTATATGTAGAATACTTTAAAGTGTTTGCTCACAACAAATGTTGAATCCAAACTATTGATCTGCATCCACAAACATGACTGGCTTTTTTTCGACGATACTAAGGACACAAAAAAGCACCATAGAGTGACACCATGTCCCTTAAGTTTGTTGACCAGCCATATGTTGGTCGAGGCCTTTAGGAGGAGATGGAAAACAGTGTGCATTTGGAGATCTGATGGGCTGGAGCACAGCTCTACACACTTGGCTGACAAGTAATAAATCTGGCTCCTTCAAGCAGCTCCACTCTGACGTGTCGGTTTGCGTTCAGTCCATTTCCTCCCCTTAAATTCACCATGTCTATATGCAACTTACAAACTGCTCAGTTGAGGTAAGGAAAACACGTCCACTTGAATTACAACTCATTCTGCGATGAAATAGTCCATCAGAACATATTTTCTCCTGGATTAGTGGCAGCTAAATGGTGCTTCACAGATAAGCATATTAACCACATATTTCATTCTTATTGAAACACACTAGCTTTAAAGTTATTTTACTGTAATAAAAGCCATTAAAGACAGATTTTTTTTTTTTTTAAGAAATACCTTTTTTTTCTTCATTAGCACCTTTGTGAAATTGGTCTGCAGTTTTTAGACTGCACATGAAAGACTTGGTTCATGTTACATTGTGACTAAGAAATAAAATGAATGGGTTTAACGACTGTCTATATTCATGCCTACCAGACAATGGACCCTTAGGAGCGCACAGAGCAATGCTTCTTCTGCATAAGAGGGTTCCACTCATCTCTCAGGGGAGGGTGAAGTACAGGCAGTCTAGTGAATTGTTTTTGGTTAAACACTCAGTTAAGTTTTGCCTTTGCTAAAGGGACAAGAACGTTGTGTTGAAGTCGTTAGCTGTTAAAATGCGCTACCCTCTGCAATCAGGGGACACATCCAGAAGGATTCAGAGCATTTTGTCCGTTCACATTTGATTGCGTTTGCTCTCTCGGCAGGTGCACAAATGGTAATCATCTGAGCTTCTAAGAGCTAGTAATGTGTGTAGTGAACGGGTTGGAGTGGGGGCCAGACCATCTGCCAGATCTAAGGCAGAATTCACAATCACCTTTCCCACCAGAGGTGAATGATTATTGCTCTTTTTCCTCATTCTGATGACTCTCAGATGTCACCCCCTACTTATTACTCCAGACATTAAATCGTGCTGTTGGGAGCTCTTAAAAAGTCTCACATGCGACACAAATGCTAATCAGATCAGATGAGATGTTGATCGGCTTTTTAAATTCATCTCTTATTTTCTTTTCTCTTTTTCTTTAGTATATATTTCTGCTGATGTTCTCAATGTGCCCGAGAAGAAAAATGCAACTGGAAACTGGACAGCTTAATGTATCAAAAATGCTCAGTGGTCACTGTTGAAAGTTGCGTTTTTAGGTGACATAAAAACTGCTGTGACAGGAGAAAGCAGAAGATGAGATTTTCCATTTCTGGCCAAGCTCTGTCTCTGGGGTAGCTGGCACTGACACAGGCACTTCTGGCTCTGCCAAATGAGCAACATGCTGCTTGAATGGCCTTTCTGGATGTCTGAATAGAAGATTTTCTGATTTCAAAATATATAAGCTAAGTCATGCAGAAATAGTGGGAGACGCTTTCAGAATATGTTTTGACAGACATTCAAGCCTTTCATGAATGATTTTCATTGCATATAAACATTCTGGGAAGAGCTGTGAAACAAACATTGGAGATATTGTTATCATGACGCTGATTCCAGTTAAATTCACACAGATCTTTAGATCATACAGAGAACCAAAAAAGTTCATCACGTTAAATATGTTTGAAGAAAAAACATTTTTTTGCTAAATGATTAAACTGTAGTCCAAATCACACTATGCGAAAAGAATTGGAAAGAACATGTAAGGCTATAAATCCGGCTATGAATCTGGAGTTTTACACATGTTGGAGTGTTTAGCTTTGATAATGGTTTTGGAGGATATATTTTCTTATTTTTGACTGAGTGAGGATTATTCTCTATGTTTGCATCCAATCTTTATTTTCAGCCTTGCTACTGAAGCATGAAAGCCTTTATTACAAATCCTCTACCGACCACAAAACTGACTGTCACAAGCAATGTGTCAGGCATCAGGCAACTACGTTTGGTTCTAATTCAAAGATGATTCTTACAGAAAAGCTTTGCAAAGTGAATTATTTGATTCTCCTATCATAGTCAGTTTGAATGAATGACTACAGACTGTCAACACTGATTTGCCAAAACCAAATCAGCTCTTACAAATATTGCAATTGTTTGTAAGAAAAACACAG